CCAACAGTTGAAGAGTCTGCCACTCTTCCAATCCAGTCAGGATTAGATACCTTTGTCGCACTAAGGTCTCTGCCTTGACAGATTCTGCAGACAGGCAGCTGCATGCTGATTCCACAATAGCCATAGCTGCAAGCGACGTTGCGATTCTGCGAATTTTGCCAACCTAAGACATTTGTATCCTAAGCTGTCTCTTCAAGACAAATTGCGATGGGTGTTTCTTCTAACCTCAAACAACAATTCGCGATATTGTTGGTTTCGCTGCCACGGTTTGTGTCTGCCAACTGACCAATCCTAATCCCGCAGAATCAGAAGGATCATGGGTCAATAGAATTGTTCACGTCTCTGTGTGCTCGAGGATTAGATTGAGAGACGGTGAATTGGTTCACAATGTTGTGTTCTTTTGTAGTGCAATATGGAACTGGCCGCCCCTTTCCGCTTGATTCCAAATGGTACCCTATAGTTTTTTGTGTAGGCTGGAAACAGGCTGGCAACAGAGTATCCTAAACTGAAAGTGAAGCTGGCAACAGAGTATCGTATGTGCATTGGTTGTTGAAACCCTGTGCTTCCTCGCCTTTGCAGGGATTGCATCAGTGGACTTCAAATCTGTGTGCGGAGTGCCGGGCTGCCAGGACGACCGAAAACCTTGTCAAGAAAACGGCTGCAATGCCCGAAACAAGAGAACCTTTCTACAACCTGATAAATTGTGTTAATTTATCTGTACTTCTGTACCTGGAATCTTTTGGTAATGACATCTCCGATGACATTTTTAGAAAAAAACACAAGTTGGCCGATGAGTTTTGTTTACAGGAACTTTGCTCACCGGAAACTTTACTTCAACATGATCGGATTGGACATATTTTCAAGCCACGTCAATCCGACGGGGAAAATTCCGATGAGCAAACTTAACTCATCAGAAAACCCAATCGGAGAGTTGGCCCTGGGAATTTAGGTGCATATCCTGGGATGCCATTCTATATAGTGGCAACCCCTGGGTTCAAAATCTATAGAATCAAGGTCTCCATGTTCTTTTGACCTTTTGAACTATTTGGAACATGGGAACCTTACTTCTATCAAGATTGATTGAATCCAACAGAATCAAGGTCTCCATGTTCAATATGCCGAGCAAAAATGGAGACCTGGAACATGGAGACCTTGACTCCAACACATTTGAACCCCGGGGTCTATAGAATGGTCATACCGTCATATCTGGGAAAGGGGATTCTGGAACATCCTTTGCCATGTTGCGATCTATCTTACAAGGCTACGCAGCACTGGTTGGGACGAGATTTGCACACGCCATCGTGGCGCCTTGGCCAGTGCGGTCGCCCAAAGGAAACGAAGAGCGCGAGCTGTGTCTCTTTGTAATGGAAGGTTATGCAAAGGGGACTGTTAAACATGGTTGTCCACTGATGGTGGTATCAGGGAAGAGCACGAACAAGTGGGAATCATTTGCCTATTATATAGCTGGTAAAGTAGCAAGTACATCAAAGGCTGTACATGCCTTATGTCAGAAGAACTCGATGTTTCTCGTATCATTTGAGCCCACTGCACATCAATACATCGACGTACATCATGTCTTCATCATTTCTCCAAATACAGCTTGCTTTTCTTCACTGTCCTGGCCTGAAGTTGGTTTTGGTTCCAAGTGCATCGTTTTTGTGCTGGGCATTTGAGGCTGGAGGCTGTGCTGGATGCTCGGCGACGTCTGCAGGCACTGGACGAAGCAGCAGACATGGACATGTGAGCCTGCACATGTTCAAACCTGTTACCTATGTAATAGTAATGGCCTCCAACCTACTAGCTATGGCCTCCAACCTAAGAGGACCATGCTGGACAGTTTGCTTTTTGGTTTTGTCGGATGGATTCCAGCAATTCATTTGCAAAAGTAAGCTTCTACCGACCAAGCACACTTGCTTCACTGAATCTGCTTAGAGGATTTCTTTAGCAGTGCACTCAGTGTTCAAGAGGCTGCCAGAGGCAATGTGATGGTTGGAGGATGTGGCTTGCTGTGCCTCTGCAGTTTTGAATGGATACGCCTGGCGCTTCTTGCATTGCGTTTGATCGATTGTATATCATACCACCCGGTTCTTGCTTGTTTTAAAGACATATGTCCCGACCGATTTGAAACAGGTACCAGTGCAGCATCGATGATGCCACAGATCTTTGGGCCTCATTCTGAGGGACAAATCCTGGTCGACCGCAGAACATGTCGCCATCTTGGGTCGCTGACGTTCCTTTCAAAGTGTTGTCAGGCACGCCTCCGACAAGAGTATTTGGAGGCGGAGCTGTGATTTTGACCATTTGGAAGAGGGATATTGAGCACAGGCCGCAGGCAAGAAACACATCAACATAACAAGTTTGGAACGAGTTTGAGTGTATTGAAGCTTTGGCATGATGATTTGATGCCAAAGACTGCCAGCAGGTCTTCCTAAGTGCCCTGATTTCGTGGGATGTTGATAATTGTCGAGCAGAACTCTTAGAGCCTTGTTGAAGTTGAAGCATTTTTGCTTCGCTGGCAGGTCTGTGCCTCAGTGCCAGGCTGCAATGTGCTGAAACGAGCCCAGACACTTGACCGGGCAGAGGCAGCCTTCGTGGGGCCTCTCAGACGCAGGAGCGTCTCGATGACCACAGTATTTGCACCAGCATGCAACTGCATTCATGCACAGCGATAGCAGCTATCATGGTAGAGAGAGGCAGGAGTGAAACAAAAAAACTCCTTTGCTGCAAAAAGAAACACTGAAGCACGAGACAGCATTATTTCGACCAGAGTTCTTCAGTCCAACGGCATTAATTCCATCTCTGCCTGTCAATGAGCCTTGCCTTCAAACCAAGGCTGCCCACCGCAGCAGGATGGAGGAGCCACAGTTCCTGAAATAGATGGTATCTGCTGACAGCAGACTGGATCATCACCATTTTCCATTGTTGGCCTTCGTGACCACACAAAGGCAACCCAGTCTTAGAGACACATCGGAGAGATTTGGGAAGCCCTGTTCTGGTGATCTTGTGGGCAATCAACATGTTTTCCAAGACTGAAGACACCATGATTGGAAGGGTATTCTGCGGAACCACCTTAGAAGCAGTTTTTGCAGCAAGAATGCATCTTGCATTGAGGGTTTGTGTACCGGGCAGGACCTTGCGAAGAGTCGCCAGGTGCGCCGTTCTGTACAGGAGAAGAACAAGCAGCTAAGAATCGAGAGGCAGAACGGGAATGTTTGGGTCGACTTGTGGGAAGCTTGTTTTGTGTCAGTGGGGAAGTTGGCCATACATTGTGTGATATAGATTGAAAAGCACGCGATGATTCCACACTTCCTTGACAAGCAGAGGAAGGAACGGCAGGAATTTGCTTGCCAACCATGAGAAAAAGCACGGTATGGCAAGAGCTCCCTTCAATAAGGGCTCTTTACATGGGCCCTTGTTAAACGCGGCAATGCATTCTTTTTACTGACTTTGATAGGTGCCAGCAGCGACAGCTGGCTCGAGCACAGCAGGTTCCGGCAGTTCTGCTGCTATTTTGTTGACAAAATGGCAAGAATTCTGAATTCTTGTTCATGTGTGTCCTGTTTGTGTCCTCATATCGCGAATGCTACAAGCACGACCAGTGTATGTGTATTTTCTTTTGTCCTTTTAATTTTCCATGATATTTCAAGGTAACGAGCGCCACTGTGACTGTTGAACATCTTTGGTAGGCAGCTGAGCGCATTCAGCTTCGAGACCAGAGGTGTGTGGAATGTGTCAAAACATGCTGCAAATCAGCTTTCTTGGACGAGAGATGGTTTAAGATCTTGATGGTTGAAGCCAATTGAACAATTTTCCACTTTAGACGACAGGAGCGAGGTGCCTGTAATGTGTATTGGCATGCATTGGCAATATCCATGCAATGCAGAAGTGAGACAAACATCCAATGGGCGTTTTTCTTCACAGTGTATTGGCCATGCTGATATCAAATATTCTTTTGAACTTGTCAACCCTGCTTCTGCATTTCCTTTTGTAGTTGGCTTGCCTACCTACCTGCTTGTCCGCCTGGCTGTCTGCTTGGTTGGCGGGCTGTTTGTTTGTCCCTTTGCGTTTGAGTCTGCCTGCCTGCCTGCCTGCCTGCCTGCCTGCCTGCCTGTCACTGTTTGTCCATTTGCCTGTGTAGGTGCAAAACTGCCAAAGCCCACATGAGTGCCAGCTAAACCTGCATCAGATTACCAGTTTGAGCTTGTGCAGATTTGTTTCCCGAAAACGCTTCCATCAACCCTCAGAAAGTACTGAGAAGTGCTTTGCTGGCGAGTTGATTCGTCGCCAGTGCAGGGCCCTTTGCAGCTTGGAGAAGCTGCTGGGGCGATGGAAGGAGAATGAAGCAAGACGTCAAAACTTCAAGTGTTGCAATTTCAATGAAGGTCCATGTATATATTTTATATATTTATGCATATATGTATATATATACACTGTAGTATACGTATTTAATTGAAATGACTGGTAGATCAAAGTCCATGTCCGCATTGTGCACGTGCTTTTGATTTGGCCCATTTATACCTGCAAGCTTTGACAGAAAGTCATCTCGTACGTCGCAGGCTCAGTCTTCAGGACGCTCGGTCTTTAGCATGTCCTGAGAGAGCACGGTAAGAGTTCCCGGCCCAGAGCTCGGGGACTGCAGTGTCTCCCAGTCCCCCGTCCCTCTTGATTCTTCAATCTGTCGGAAATGGACAGTGGACAGGTAGCTGCTCAAAACAAAACGGCCGAAGTTCCTGCACCTCTGGTTTCCTTTTGACTAGCAGGTTGACTGTAGATGCTCTAAAGCTTTGGCGAAGCCGAAACAACGATTTCATGCATGGTGCTGCGTGGACTAGCGTTGGCTCAACTGCAAGTAGGGACATGGATTGTGCCTGGCAGAACATTGAATGACAAAAAATCTGAAACTTTTGGTCACACAGAGACAAAGCCCTTGAACATGAAGAAGTCAAAGCCCACCGCTTTAGTTGACATAAATTGAATCTACAAGAATGCCATAGATTCCGCAGATTTGTGTTGCATTTTTCCCCTGCCCTTGCCATGGGATGTTTCAAAGATCAGCTGCAGAATGCAGGCGCTGCAACATTGTCATGATCTGAGTGCGGCAACTGAATGGAGATGAGCCGAAAGTCTTGGCGAAAGTGGGGAAAGCGGACACTTTGTGCAGACAAGTCAACTTGTTGCCTCCAGGCCATAGACCCGGAAGTGCTTTATCAAGTTTTCCGTCACTCTTACAGCCCTCATGGGCAGGCTTTTCGGTGGGCCTACTGCATGCTGGGCGGGTTTTGGCAAGATTCCGACAAACACATATTCAAATGCACTGGCATCCTCGCGTACTTCAAGACTTAAACTGTTTGTGTTATATGTAATTATAGTTAATTATATATACACACCTGTAGAGACGCATATTCTGACCCGCGCAAGGAGAGGCGGCAGGCAGAGGCTTTCTTGCAACAAGCAGCCTTCCGCCCCGGCTTATTGCCCGCCGGACATCCAGTCTTGAGCAGTTTGGTGATAATCTTCAGACTCAAAACTAGAGCGCTTGTTTCTCAAAATTGTCCTTAGTCTTGCGCGGACACTTCCACCTTCGGCCTCGGCACGACCGTTGCCCTAGTAGCGTCCTTGCTCCTAGTAGTAAGGCCAGGAGCCCCTAGTAGCTTCTTGTTCCTAATAGTCAGCGAATGTCGGCGAAACACAGGCCTTGCTTCATGTGACCAATGCTGCCCAAGAGGTTCCGATACGCCAGGCGGGAGGCTCTGAAGCTTTTGCCCAGTTCCTTCCCTCGTTTTCCGACCCGTTAGGCCGCTGCGATTCAGCTGAAGAATCAGTTGCGGCTGTGGGATGCAGCAGGCCATGGGCCCTTGGGCCGAAAACGACATGCCTTGCCTGACGATGCTGGCTTAGTCCCAGCATGTCGTTTGGTTTGCCTTCACTTTGTAACTCAACAAGCATGGTTGCTCAGTGTTGCTGCTAATGTTGGATCTTATGTAAATAGTAAACCCCGCCCCTGGCAAACAGTTGAAAGAGAGTGAATACTGACAGCTCACAAAAATTAGCAGTCGTCGTGCTGGTGGTAGTGGCAGTGGTAGTGGTAGTAGCAGCAGTAGCAGTAGCAGTAGCAGTAGCAGTAGCATCAGAAAAAAAGAAAAAACAGAAAACTAAGCTCTGATTTCTTTCCAGGGCCAAGTTTGCGGATGATTCCAACCCCCTAAACAATTCGTACGCTTAACTTCCTTTGGGCTTGTGTGTGTTTGAACAATTGTTGGGACAATGATTTCGATGAGTTTAATTCAGTTTCAATTCTTTTTTTAACGACATCTTTCAGGGGTCAGAGTTCCAGGAATCAAGAAAAACCTCAGGAGAGGTTAAGCAAGGATCTGGAAGGGAAGCAATAGCCAAACAATAGAATCGCAGACAAACCTGCTTTCACAAAAAGAACTGGGTGTTTTTGTTTTTAAATATATATTTTTTTTTACAATTTCCGAACCCATATATAAACCCTTCAGGTCGAGTGCAAGTTTTTTTTTGTTATTTCCTCCCTTGACTGTTTGGGCTTGAGCTTTATAGCCGCATGGTAGCCAGCCAGAAGCAGCACTGACCCACTTTTAGGTGATAGCGGGAGCTATTCAGAGGAGGACAAGGCGGGAATCGTTTCCACACATTTTGGACAAGAGCCCCGTGTTAAAACGACATTCGAATGGTTTGGTGATTTGGACAACCCTGGCCGCAGAAATGTGACCAGCTATGGCCCGTTTTGGTGTTGTTGCAGACATACTGCTTGTCTCAATTGGTTTTAAGTTTGTGCGTGGGGATATGAGCTGTGGCCAAAACTAGTATATACTTTGCTAACGGACGTTTCATTGCCTTTAGTAGGATTCTTTCCAGACACGATAGGTAACTGCCAACAAACGCTGGAAAACAGTAGATGATGCCTAGTATATAGATATATAGATGAATCAAGCCCACATAAGCCATGTTGACGCTGCCTCATATGCATCAAGGCACCTATCCGGCGTGAATTGGTTGAAAGCCTTGCTGCAGCTGTTGGAGAGAAGGGCGTCACTCAGACCTGTGGTAAATTATGGTAAATCAAAATGCTGTTTGGGCTTGTCGTCCACATGTTAAGATTGGATAAAATTTCTCTCCGCCTGCAGATTTTTTCCTAGGTACGTGTGCAACTGGTTGAGTGCTTTCGTCTAGTTGCGGGCACCTGAGAAACTTCCATGCTCCAGCAGAATGCAAAAACCCAAATTTTAACTTAAGAACAACTTCCAAGCCGGTTTCGTCTTGCACAATTGCACAAACTCGCTTTGTAGTCTATCAAATCGTATTGGAAGTGTCCTGCGGCAGAATGCGATGGAACTCAGGCTCTCTACGACTTTCCAGACCGCTGGCCAGGCACATCGCAGATTGACTACAGAAAACCACCCCGAGATTCCATATTCCACAGTGCTCGGTAGGAGAACTAGCTCTTCTTTCACCTCCAGCCAGGCATAGTGCAGAGGCTTTTAGGCGGCCTTTGCTCAGAGCAGCGCGACACGGCCTTAAGCCTGAATTCCTCTCGCTTTCCTGCTCTTTCTTCTGTGAGACGCGATGGATCTACTTCTCTTGTGCTCCCTGCTATCTAACTCACGCTTCTTCAAGTCAAACTCCAGTTGATACTACGAAAGGGTGAACAAAAACACACACACACACACACATGCTGTGAACATCTACGATCGTCAATACAATCATCACAGCTCACAACCAGAAGCTTTTTGATAGACTTCAGAGCCTTGTACACTCAGTATCGCACTGACGTCGAGACTTGAGGCTCAGACGATGTGTAGCTTGCTGCTCTTCCGGCAACTTTTCAAACTGTTGGAGACGCGTTCCGCCTCTTGGAAAAACTTTGTCAGGCACATTTGTTTGATGGTTCCACGCTAGACAGGAACAAAGTTTGCAAGAAGTTTAGGTCTTTTATGCAACAGACTGTTGGCACCGGTTGTTGTCGGTGTTCCTTCAAGGCAAAAGACAGGGATGATTTACTAAAGCTTGTTGCAAGTTTCGTCCTTGGTTGCACCTCCTCTCTCTCTCTCTCTGTGTCTCGTTGCCTGGCTTAGTCGTTTTTCGCTCTTACTCCTCCTCTCTGTCGATGCTCTTCGCACTGAATGATCTATATTCACTACTCCGAATATTCCAGTCACTGACAGTGACCGACTGACTGGACTGACTCACAGACTCACCGACCCACTGTCTCTCGCGCTCTGTGTCTTTCTCCTTCTGCCGCTCTTGGCCATTTCTCTTGCCTTTCTCCATTCTCTCCCCCGATTCTCGCTCCTCTTCTTTTTTGCTTACCTGCTCCCAGGCATAATTATACAATGGCCGAACGAACCACAGCCTGCAATCTGTAGCATCATCCGCAGGTACAGCCAAAACTTACCAGCTAAACCCCTCGAGGACCCAACACTTATTGGACAGACTCTTGCCAGGCATCATCCCCGTTCTGCTATTCCTCGTACACATGCGTAGAATCGGGGTTGGCGGAATTTGACATGGATTGGCAGAGATTCAATTTGGGCAAACCATGCACAGTCACCACGTGTAGTTACATCACGTCCTTTTGATATTGTCAGCTCTAAAATGGGTACATGACGAATTCAGGCAGAGCGTCGTGGAGAGCTGCAAGCGCTTGCAGCTCAATGCATGTGATGACCTTGGCTCCAAACCTGCGAGACAGCCGCTTTGCCGCTGTGGCCCGGCCAAGGCCTACTTTGCTACAACTTAGTCCTGTTCTGGCCAAAGCTGCCAGTGCAAAGTCTCAGGAGGCAAGACGTGCAAAGTGGGTAGAGTCATGTCCAGTCGTTATTTCTTGAGGTCAGTCAGACAAGAACGAGGAACTTAAGATGGATAGATCAGATGTGGATGTAGAGCAAACATTGGAGGCCTTTGAGATGCTGAAACTGGTGTGCAGCTCAGAGCCTTGTGTGCTGTTCACCGTTCACCAAGGATTCAGAAAATCTAATCTACCTGATCTAAACCATGACAGCTTCATGGTTGATCTTTTGGATGGATCAGGGCTTGAATGCAAAGAAGTGCGTACTGCTGTGTTGAGGTGCTGAAGTGTTTTTACTCAGCGACGCGGATGGCCTTGCCTGAGCAGGTTCAGAAGGAAAGGGCCGAAGATCAAGCCGAACCTTTTTGGCTGTAAAAAAGCTTTAGTGTGTTTATGACACATATATTTTGGGGTCTAATTTCCGACTTAAGATTTGTTTTATATTTCAGGATATCCAGCATTGGATGGAGCTGTTGCTCACTGTGGGTCGCCCAGACACATCGAGTTTCGGTTTTAACGACAAGTAGAGCCTCAGGAAGGATGCCCCGCTTCTCACATGTCTGTCCAACCCTATCCATACTTGTTGGATATTGACGGGCCTCAAATTCAAGGTTTCTGAGTGGCAGCTCGAGACACCTGCAACAGGTTTGGAGCGCGAGGCAGGTGTTTGGGACTTTCGGTTGGAATCGGCCAACCAACCATTGCTCGCGCTCACCAGCAAAGCAAGAGACGTGCGTGGGCGTGACCTGTTTCGTCGCGTAAGCTGTTTAACATTCACTGAACACCTCTACAGAATTTCTAGTGGGTGATTATCTACACTAGCAGCATCTCATGATCATGACTTCTTAAACCTCACAATCGGAACCCCAATGCAAGGGCCCCGGCACATCTAGCGTGGGCAGAAGGCATCTTCTAGATTGTGCGACATCGTGCTCCGAACATGATCACGGGTTGTCAGCTGCTGGGTTTATCTGTTTTGCTGTTGTTCAACTGTTGTTCTGCCTTTTTTGGTATCAAACTCTCATGACCTTGGATTTTCCAGGTTCAAGAGGCCAGTTGCGAGGTAAAGTGTCGAAAGTGGGTCTTTCAGATCTTGTGTGGGGCCTTGGACACAATCCGGATTTGAGATCTTGCTTTCTCAATTAGAAACAAGTGTATCGCTACTAGTAACAAGTGCCTTACTAGTAGTAACAAGAAGATACTTTTTGACTTGCTTCTGATGTCAAGCGTTCAAATTGGGCAGCAAGAGTTGGCAAATGCTGAGCATTGGACTATCCCTGGAACACATGCAAAGGTTTCTAAATACCGTTACACAATTAAAAGAGCCAAGCATGGGCTGTTTGTGGTGGGAAACATCGTCCACTATGACATGATTTGTTCGGACTGGACTTCATGACCCGCGAACTCAACCACATTTGGACACCAGCCAAGGTTGAGATTCTATCAGAAACATTGTCACATGCGACGCGTGGCAGAAGGTATGGAAGCTTTTGCAAAGGCAAGGTCGGACTTCAGTGTCACTCAGATGTCCAACCAGAAGACGGCCCAAGTTCAACTATATATATATATATGTGTTTCCCTAAACTAAAAAATCTAAGAACCAAATCAGTGCGTGAGCTATCGTGCGTCCATGTCTAGAAGCGTCCTACTTAGCTAATAACTTTGGGGCTTTAAAACAACAACTAAATACTGGGAGTGCACTTCCGGATTAGAGTTCTTCAGTTTGCCTTTGGGCCAGGCTTGGAATGATGCCTATGAGGCAGGGCTTCAATTTATCCTTCAAGCTTGGAGGGCCAAGCTCTGCCAGAGTCGTTTGTTTTGTTCATTTTGTTCCCATAGTGTATCTCAACCGTGCAGTCGGTTTTGTAGTGGAGACAGCCAGCCTAGTTTGGTGAAACCTACCAGGTGCCTGTGGCTCGCGTTTGCCTCAAAGAGGCCTGTGCTGGGCCACAAGGCCGCTGCTAAATGGGGCAAATAGATGCAAATAGAGTCCATTTGGAATCTCATTCGCAATTTGTGTATGTCATTCCAATTTTTGCAAATTTGACATACACAAACTCAGCGGTCCGTGGAGCCTAAACGGATACCATAGGCACCTGGGCGCCGAAGCGATCCCTTAGCCTAGCTCTGTGCTGGAGCTCAGAACTGAAACCAGTTTCCACTGTGCCCGAGAAGCTGCCAGCTCTTGGATGTTCAAGGCCTTTGGAAGCTTTGTTTCTAGTGATGCTTTAAGAATATTCAGAGACAGTTGTCATGTTGGCTCCTGTTGGGGTGTCGAGACTGAGGTTGTGCTTGGCGGAGGCATGCCGAAGGGAGGCTGCCTTCCAGGACAGCAGCCTCCAAGCTTTGCTTCTGGCACTTTTGTGTTCGTTGGATGCCTTTTTGGTTTGATAATCGGAGATACTTCGTTCAACTGCCTTCGCTTCGAGGCTTTGAAGCCCAATTTGCAACTGCTCTTGGAGCATGGCATTTTCCCGCAGGACGTGCGCGCGCACATGCGAGGGGTGAGCGATGAACCTGACACAACTTTGCTGTGCGCTCTCTCGCAAACCTGGGCTGAGGGCATCTCGTGGGGTCGTTTTTAAGGGAAAAGAGAGCTACTAGTAGCTCCTGGCATCGCTATTAGTAAGAACAAACTACTAATGGGCGCAAGAAGCAACTAGGGAAAAGATCAGACTTGAGAGGGGATCTGAACCATCAGCAAGCTTAAGGCGGAGGTCTATTGCATCAAGCCCTTCAGTGAAGATTGTTAACTAAGATTGTTCACCTTAAGACTCAAGACTTTGACTTGAGGTTTGAAGGTCTGAAGAGGGGATGAGGCTTCACCTTAAGGTTCAAGGAGAGGGCCTATATTAAAGCGTCTAAGTTTTAAGCTCTGGAAACGACACTCGGAATGGTATTGAGTGTCTGGAGGTCCACATCGTCATTTCGGACAAAAGAACCATTCTGGCAACTCATGGTGGGTTGGCTTCTGACCCGTTGAGAAGCAAGAGACGTTAATGACCGGGCCGGCTGCATCGGATTGAGGGGTTGAAAAGGACCCACGTGTCATTGCTAGAGCCCGTCTGAACCCTCCTTATCGAGTTCAGATATCGTATATAGTAACAAGAAGCCACTAGGTGGAGACCATCGCTTTTAGGTTGGAGGCCATCGCTACTAGTAGCTAGAAGCTACTAGTAACAAGGCGGATCATTTATAATTTCAACGGAACGCTGGTCTCTGAATTGCCAGGTCCGCTTTGGAGAGGCAGAGCTGCAGCTCTGGCAGGAGGATCCGGAGGCAGCCTTGATCCAGCCGATAACTAGCGTTCTTGTTAAAGGTTCAAGACCCAAGTCTTGTACTTGGCCTGTTTGACAGACCTGCGGGAAATTTCAGTAGGTATTGTTGTGCCATTGGGCGTGCAATTTCACTATTCTTTTATGGATCCGCAGACCTCCTGTAACTTTGACCCGCAACAGTTCTTCACAGAGCACTTTCACTGCACAATGCAACGCTCACCGCCGCTCACCCTTTGTTTAAATGGAGTCTTCTTGACTAAGTGCGGCTTTTTCAATCAGTTGCCTCAAAGAACTACATGCAGGCATTTTGCAAAGGATAGGATGCTGGTCTGCTCGGACACCGTTTGACACTCACACCTGCTGGCTTGTTTGCCCACTTGCTTCCATCTGACCAGGGAGGAGATGTTTGCAGGAGGCCTTTTTTTACCGGCCTGATCCCGCTTCCCTTTTTGTCTCAGCTTCACATAGCTTCACTTGATTCATCTCAATACATCTCAATTGCTTTGTTCCGAATTTATCGCGGCTCAAAACAAACCTCTGGTCCGCTCTACTAAATCGATTTTCTCGACATCTAAAGGTCATTGATGTCATTTTACTTGGCTTCATTCCGTTCCTTTTTCCAGTTGCCCATCGTGCCAATGTGAGTCGAGCTTGGATGAACTACGTTGATTTGCGATGTGATTTCCATCGCCACCTATGACCTCACAAAGCGCTGCAACATGCTGCAACTGCAACAACCAATCATTTATATAATTCAATGCTGTTCGCCATGAAAAGCTGCAATGCGGCTCGAAGATTCATTTCCGAAGCAATATTTCTCGTGAGGTCTCACAGGAGCTTTCCATCCTTGAAACGTTTCCAGGAGTTGCTAAGAGAGCTGACGAGCGCTTGCGACTCTGACTCCGAGCCCCACCAGGCCACATGGCAAGACTGCAGTGACAATAGGCAAATCGTGCCAGACCGTTTCCAGATGGCAGGCTGCGATTGAGCTGGTGGAGCGACTTTTGCTTTACCATCACAAGGATTAACCCGCCCATGAAATGGACCTATCAACAAAACGTTGTCGCTTCCTTTGTGTTTTCTGGAAACACAGAACGACTTTGCAGAGAACAATTGTTGGCTCCTGGGGTCCCTCGACAACTGGCGCTGCTCATGAATCTTGAGGAGATTCTTTTGCCGCTCCTTCACTTTTGTCGTCAGCATTTGGAGACAGAGGCTGGGAGCTTGCGATATATATATATATATATCGAGGCATGAGAGCGGCAACCAACCATTTTTGGGCAATCCAAAGATGTGTCAGGCCAACGATCCAGCCGCCTGCTCCAATCAGGAGAGAGAGAGAGAGAGAGAGTGAGAGTGAGAGTGAGAGTGAGAGTGAGAGTGAGAGAGCAGAGGTGCATCAGGTGCATACGCTTTTTTTTGCTGTATGCAAGGTGTGAAAGGTACCAGTGACATGAATACTCGGATTGCAAACTTGTCATTTGTGTGTGCTGAAGACCACAGTAGTTGGCCCACGGTTGATATCGCGCCGTGTGGTTTCGGGTGGTTTGAACCCCCACCAGCCCGCTGCGGGTGGGTGGGGTGGGTGGGGTGGGTGAGGGAGTAATAGCGTTTGTTTTCGATCCGTTTTCGATCCGCGCCTCAGACTCGCATGTCGCAGTCTTGTATCGGTCCAAGTTTGAGGTTTAACCACAGGTTAAGGAGACAAGAGTTTAGCACCAAGGAGACATGAACAGGGCTGCGACATCACTCAAATGACAAAGTTTTGAATCGGGTGTAACATTTCTTGCAGTCAACATGGACATTGGAGGAGGCGGTCATACCGGCGCTTGCGCATGTCTTACTCTTGCGCTTGGCCCGTGTGCAGACTCCGCGCAATGACCTGTTGTCATGGTGGACTGTTTGCATGATCTATGTGGATGATTTGCACAAAGTCTCAGGGTTGGAACGTGGTGACATTTTTTGGATATTTGTGGGCCGCAGAAAGTTTCCATGAGAAGCAATTCAACATCTATGCTGACTAACTAAGGTTCCTAGTGCTTTGACAGCCGGATCTTGATTGGGCCGGGCACACCAATGAGACGTTCACAGACCAAACTGGGCAACTGCAAGAGAAATTTATAAGATGCGTGACGCTGCGCCAGAAGCGTGTGAAGTTGGTTCTTGGAGCTCAAAAGCGGGGATGTATCGGGCTGGGTTGTCGTTGAAGTCTTGGCTTCCTCCACGTTTTGTCGTGGCAGTGGAAGGAAGCCTTGGGCAACTGAGTCCACAAGACCTGTTGCAAGCACTGATCGCCCTGCAGAAGTGAAAGTTTGTTTAAAGCTCCGTGGGGCGGATGTGTCCTTGACTTGGACTACCAACTCATTTCTTGGGACAAATGTCCAAGATCTACTTGACCAGAAACTCAGACTTGGGGGTATACATGCTACAAGATGTCTTCAATGCAGGTTGAAAGTAGTCCCCGAGTTTTCAATACCACGTTTCTTGACGTGAAGTGAAGTGGCCAGGAGGTTCCACATCCGAACGCCAATGGAATTAGGAATAAAATCAGGTTTCCCGTTAAAGCCCAAAGAAAACAAACGCGTTGACGCTGCTACCCCTGATTTGACACACGGCATAATAGCCGCCGAGGGCCCACGGGTGCAACAGCAAAGATGTTTTCGACAAACATTTTGCAGTACTGGTGTGGGTGTCAGCCCATGAGGACGGCGCCTTGGTTCTCCTTGGTCTCATGGTCGAGTATTTGGTTGAACTGGACCCAACGCAGATGGAGGAGGTGGAGGCAAGTCACGCGAAGACGGGGACAGCGAAGGGAACAATGTGACAAAGCCATACAAAGCCAGCGCATTTTCATATGTTTTCCGCCCAAAAATTATACCAGACTGAACTTCAACAAGCATTCACGATATGTGATAAAAGGATCCACCGTTCTTCTGGTTTGACAGGCCAGAAGAAAGCGGAAAGGCACTCAGCGAAAGGCACAACAAAGCGTAAGTGCTTTGGCAGCAAACATTGTCGATCTTCATCGCCAAGGCTGCCATGAACAAATTTCATTGCTGCTGTTTGTCGGACTCTGGGTCCAGTAGTCCGAAAAAACATTCTCTCTTGGCCACCCAATTTAACAAACAAATGACAGGAAACGCGGACAGGGCCCTTTTAACATTTTTTAACAAGGCCCCTGTAAAGCGGCAAAATGCATTATTGAGGCCCTTACCTTCATTTTCTGTCATTTCTTTCAATCCTTTGTTTTTGTGGCCTTTCCTGGGGTGTTCGCCTAAGGTGTGGAGGAATTGATCTCGCGTTACGTGCGACCAGCAATGACCTCACCAGCTGCCTTCCTGCGTGCGCCAAACGGCAGCCAGGTTCGCGCGACATGAACAAGACGGCCAGTTTGAATCGTTGCCAGGCCTTCGTGGTGCTTGGTGCCTTGGAAACTTTGCGCAGAAAGCCCCGAAGCTGGGACGTCCAGGAGTTGCAGCAGGCGCTTGCTGCGACTGCCTGAGGATGTTGGCAGATCAGGAGCCAGTTTCGATGAGACCATGAGAGGTCCGCACCTGTGATTCATACCCAGTACCATCAGACACATGTTGGAGCTGGAAAAGGCCGTGTAGCCAATGTGTTCAAAGATCAACCTCAGAGGCTTTCTCAATCTTCCTGACCCTTAGGTCAGGTAGTTCATCATGTTCGCCTTGTGAACAACCCTTATGAGTGCTTAAGAGGTTGCAGCAACCGCTTGCGAGTGTTGCTCGCAGTGATCCCTTTCCAGGATTCTTGCTCGGGTGTTCTGTTCGCCAGGAGCTGCCCGTTCGAGTCTTAGCTGCTAGCTGCTTGGAGTCCCTGCTGCAGAGAGAGGACGACGAGGCGCTGCGCAGAGTGCCGTGGTGGGATCAAAGATGAGCAAAACAACGGACTTCGGTGACTTCGCTCCTTCATTTTTGCAACTGCAGCCTTGGGTGAGCGTCAGTTTTGGGGATCAAATCATATGAAGCATATTTATGGGCAGAGCTCAGGACTTTTCAAGCAAACGATTATACAACAGTTAACAGCGGACCCAAAAGTGGATAGGCTTTCAGCTTTACAGAGGGACGGCCCTCGAGTTTGGTGCAGGTCTCCTCAGCTGTTGGGATGCAGCTGGCGCCAGCCATGGAGTCACTACTGCGGACACTGGGAGAAGTGCAGAGTGAGGAGAAGAGCAAGAAGAGCGAAGTGCAAAAGAAAATAGAAGAAACACGATGGAAAAGCCTTACCCTCCTTTTGTAATATCTTTTTTTCATTGTATAAACACGTTAAACACGTGTACTATCTTCCCTTGACAGCATTGCTTTGAGATTCATTTGTTTTTCCTCCAATTTGTGGTTCCCGAGCACTTTTGAAAGAATCGAATGGGACATGCAAAGCTTTCTGAAACAACATGCTGGCTGACCCACAAAGTGTGAGGAAGTGGGGTCCGCATTGCAAAGGCTGGTGGAAGCCTTCCCATATGAGGCTGGTGCAAAACAGTAATTATATGCTGATGCTTTTGGGGTGGGAAAAGATGTACTTCCCACCATTGCTGCGAAACAGGTTGTACCTTTTGCAGCGCAACTGGTGTCTGGCCTAGCAAGACAGTTTTGTGCCTTGGAAGCACGAATGGAGCTACCGGGAGTTCTTTCTATTTTGTGCTGGGTAATGAGAGTTGTAGGTAGGAGTCCCGAGTTTTAGCGTGCTTCTGTGTTCTTTTAGTTTCAACTTGGCTGAGAGCTGCAAAGGCCTTTCTTCTTCCAAAGATGAAGAAGATGATGATGCGGATGAATCAGAGAGCCTCAGCTAAGATCCTTGTTGGGAGTCCTTCTTGCTACAGCGTAAAGGTATAGCGAACCTGAGGATGTCTTCTGCTGGCGCCTTGGCCACCATCATCAGCGTGGGCGGCTCATTCAATCATTCCGAACGTTGCATGAAAAAAGTTGCTATCATAAAACATTGTGAGCAGAGACATCAAATTCCTGCGTGTAGGTACTTCAAGCATGCTCCGGCCTCCAGCGCCCGGAGGACAAGCTTCGTCAAGTGGTGCAGTCCATTGACAATTCCAATCGTGGGTTGAATGCAAGTTGTTTAGTGTTTGCTCAGCCATTTGGCTCAATCATGGATCAGTGCGACTCACCAAGGGCTTTTCAGCTTGAAGGGCTTTGCAGCATCTTGGAGAAATTCACAATCTCGAGCTCTTTGCGAGGTCATACTTCTAAAGCTCCTTTAATATGTTTCAGTCGGCAAAATGCAGCCATGTCAGCGTCTTTCCGCATCTTCGTTCGAGATGCGCAGAAGGACTGCTGCATTGTCAGATTGATTGGTTTTGTGCCGGACATCTTCAGGATTAGCTCCACAATTTTCCAAGAGAGTTTGAGCTATTTGAGCATTCAGCATTCGTTTGAGATATGGTCTCAACCTGTTAGATGCACATCACAACATTCTTTCACTTGGGTTTCACACTGCCTTCAAGATATTTCTGCCTCCTCAGCAATTCTGTGCCCCCATTTGTTGCTGATGTTGGCCGTACTTCACACAACAAAGAACAGCAGCAGTGCATATTTCCCAAAGAAGTTCTACCTTGCCTTGAGTTGTTCACCTCATACGAGTAAAAGCTCCACAAGAAGAAAACCCTTGCATGACAATACACCATTCCTGTTGTCACCTTGTTCTTGTTGATTTGTGTCTGGGCGGAGACGCTCGGGCATTCAACTTTTTGATGTATCTTCTTTATATAACCAGTCTATTGAGTGCAGATTGCCAGTTTTCTTTCAGTTCATTGGGGTTATCAAGTGCTTTTGCCCAGGGGCAGCGGCTGGTGGCTGGAGTTCGTAGGGGCTTCAGTGTGGCCCGGCTCAAGGAGAAGTTTGCTCCGGAGGCAGCTGACGGGGCAACTGACCATAGATTTGCAAGGAAAAGAGTGGCGGACGTTCATCAATAGAAGTCTCCAAGTGATTTTGCCCAAGCACTTGCAGGCACAGGTTGCAACCAACCTCAAGTCCATGCGAGTTTATAGGGGAGGATGTTTTCATCCACAGTTTTGCCCAACTGCATGGGCCTTTGTGCTTGCATGCGATTGAAACAGGCGCTTTGGGCCATTGATGGCTTCACGATACCGAGCTGGGAGTGCGCCAGCCAGGTGGGATCTCGTTCTGCTGGAATGCTGCAAGTTGAGATTCTACGAAGCTGAAGCATTGATACTGTATTGACAGTCTTCCAGAGGTTTATGACATTGTCCAGCCCTCCCATGTTAGATGCGAACCTGCAGGACAATATACATTGACACACACACATATATAATCATATATAGAAATATGTATTACACGCTCTCAAGATTAAGTACGAACAAAGGCGAGTGGCCGCTGCTCCAAGAAGCCTCAGTGAAAAAGAGGCCTAAGTGCTTGAGCGTCCTCAGAATAGGTGTGAAAGCCTAAGAAAGCCCGGGATAAGGTATGTAAAGCGTTCTGACCATGACCAACTCGTGACTGCAGTGAAGCAACCGCTGCAAAGGCCAGAAGTTTGTTCTAGTTCTAGTTAGGAACGGGACCAAGTTGGAAATTCTCAGGTAAAACTGCAGGTACGTGTGGCTGATCAGGCCAGATATCAGCACGGAGTTTGACCCTCTTCTTTGGATCGCCAGTCAAGTCCGTGGTCGATCCCCCTGCTGAAGCCGACATTGAGTCCAAGGCACGCCCCCGTAGACGGGTGCTAAAGTCTAGAACTAGGGCTCAGACTAAGGTGTAGGTATGCACGCGCAGAAGACAAAAGGATGAAGACATGAGAGGAAGACAAGACAGAACAGTGTAGGTGGTTGCGATGAAAAGGAACCAAGTGAACAGGAACAACCAGATGAGCCATACCTGATTATAACAACTTGAGCGACCTCAGACCTGGGCTTCATGTACGGGTGCACGTGTGCGCTAAGGGCCGGACCGATGTGTGCGCAAAAGAGAGAAAGGAATGAGGTGACAAGACGTGAAGGCAAAAAGACATGAAGAGAAAGAGGAAAAAGAGAGCGCGTGCGGGGAAAGAAATCAAAAGGGAAGCTAAATGGAGGGGCCGAAAAAAAATGAAGCCGTTTCTCATTAACGGACCTAGCGCCTGGCCTAGTTTATGTATGTGCTGTGTGTGCACCTAAGGTGGGGACAGGCCCCAATGGGCCTTGAGAGAACTGCGGCCGCTGCGACCTACTCTGGGCGTTCAGCCTGCTCTGGCCCGCTTCGGGCTACTCATGGCCTTGCCGCACTGGATGCCTGCTCAAGCTCCACAACAACCGTCAGGTCTCAATCAACGTTTGGCATAAGCCTCCTACGCTCGCTGCAAGCTGCTCTG